ATGTTTATCTTAAAACAGCTTAGTTAAATGTCATCGGAAGAAAACGAGGATAATGTTGCTTTAATGATATTTCCTAAAATGGCAGTATAGCAGCATTTGTGGGATATCCTGGAGCACAATTTGTCTTTAATTAAAATGAAGCAAACAAACAAACAAAAGAAGCATCAACCAAAACCAACCTAATAACAAGAAAATTGGCTGACTGATAGAAGTAAATAATTCATAATAGATCGGGCCCTAAATCCTGGAAGTTATTTCTCTAGAGCAGCTGATACAAAGAATTCAGAGCCAATTGTTCTGTATCAGATGAAAACCATCTTTGCATACACTAATCACACTCAGCACATTTTTTTTCCTCTAACATTGATAACCTATGATCATTTCCACATACTTAAAATAAATGGGTAGAGCAACCAATCAACAATTTTTTCATAGCGTAGATGCAGTTGCTGCAGATGTAATGGTACATGTGAGATACTTGCACTGGATTGGATTAAGCAGTATGCTGCAAGTACTATTGAGTGCTTCAGCAAAGAAGCATTTAAGTTCTTTCTTGCCTCTACATGCACAAGTAGTACCCACTGCCTTCATCATCTTATGCTTAGTGTCATGAATGTACTTAGAATCCCTCTGGTTTCTAAGTGATTTAATCAAAATACTGGAAGATCAGCCTTTCACTGAAGTTAACAGAAGAACTTGTGTACAGATTTCTTCTGTAATTTCTTTTGAAGAATCACAGAAATACTGAAATATTAGAAAGCTAAAAGGAACTCTTTATTTGTAGTTCTTTCTCCAGAAAACTCTCTACTGTCACATCAGCTCAACTAAATCATCTGAAGGTGGGCTTTTCCTACATGATGAGGACCTGAATACGGAGAACTTAATACTGAGAGAAGAGCAAATCAGAAGCCACACAAATCATCCAGGTTAGTTCTGATTTTCATGTGGGGAATGGGAGAGGAAATCCTAAAAATCTTGGGAACCAGATTTTAGTTACCACTTTTTATTTTCTTAAGCTTTCATGATGTTACCTATGTTCACAAGGCAAAAGGAATATTCCATCTGTTGTGAGATGTTCTTCAACACAGAGCAATGTTACAGCAAAAAGGGCTTTACTGTGCCTAATTACTGATAATCCAGGTGTGTTCAGAAGAAGCATAACTCCTAATGGCTTTGAAATTTTAAGCTCCTACTCTTGTTCTTTCCACACTGTCATCATTTAAACAAAAGAGAATAGAACTTGTATCCAGGCTTTGCTACAAGTGTTAGTACAGCTGTTGTCATCCAGTTTGAAGGTCAGTGTGATAACTTAGATTTGACTACATTTATAGTCTAAACTGGAAGCATATAGGAAATGATAATCTAGGAATGCTCTTGATTTTATGCTCTAATTTTTTCTTTCCTTCCTTATTCAGTCGTCTATTCTTCCAGAATGGACACCAATTAAAGGAAAACTTAGTTTTTCCTCCTCTGTGTAATTTAGAATCCTTCAGGGCTTCAGTCTGTTAAGGAAAGCTTTTGCATTCACTTTGTGCATGAGGTCTAATTGCACCTAACACTTTATCATTATAAGTGTGCTTTCTGTTTCTCCCATAGAACTTGCAGCAATCACAGAGTTAAAAAATAGCATGAAAACTTTTTTTTCTATGATATTTCCACTGTACAACAAATATTGTGAAGTCCATGTGAGCTAGATCTGAGTCCTCAAAATCTGCAGCACTATTTACATGAGTGCAATGAAAGTGTAAAGTGCTGTTGAATTAAGGTGGTGTACGTTTTGTGTGGATGTAAATGATTTATATGAAATACAAGGACTGGTGAATAAGTTGCCACAGCTCAAACTCTCTCAAAATTTCTGCCAAATTGAGTGGTAACTCTCCAACAGTTGTTTTCAGAGGTGCGATCCTTGTTGGTATCTTAACTAAGAAGAACCCAGATGACTGCACAGCTAGCTGATGCATGAAAATTACATTTGCTAAACTTCACATTCTTTTACCTAAAACAAAGTATAATCTTTTGCTCACAGCTTCAATTTCCTAGCTGTGTATGAATATGCATTGAAGAGAAATGTGTTTACCTGACGTAATTTTTAAACATTAGCATTTTACATCTTTGTAGTCTTTTGGAAAAACAATTTCATGGGATTAGCTACGTCTCTCTAGGTGACCTGTTTCTTTTCTGGCATGTGGAAGGATTCAGGAACAAACAATTACTTGGTCTTTGCATGCATAACTCTTAAAAATAATCAGGATCAGTACCTACTTAAATATGTGCTGCTTTCTTGGCATATACCAAGTCACCTTCTGACTCAGGCTGCCAATGATGGAATTAAATATTGCAGTATCTGGGTGTGCCCCTCTTTATGTCCCAGTCAACCACTCCACATTGAAAACGGTGTATTTTTTGCTTCCAGAGCAACTCTCAGTCATGCTGGTAATCGCATATGTACCTCTCAGCACTCCAATAGATGCTCTGCATTCCCAGTGAATTGCACTGTCTTGACAAATTAAACAAAAATGGCTTACAGCTTTCTTCTCTCTAGCCTTCACCCGTTACTGTTGAGCAGATTTCTAAGAGAGCAATTCAGCATCTTTTTCATAAAAGTAAGGAGCCACATTTCCTTAAAACTTTCCTATTTCCAGGACTCCTAAACATACAGGAATTCCTGTAAAGAAAGCCAAGTATTCTCCAGGAAAGTGTGTGTCACAGATTAGGGCAGATTCTCTGTGATGGAAGTTATGTCCAGGAAAATGAGTGTGGGTTAACATTGGTGCAGTACAGGAAAAATAAACACCCAGAGCCTCAAAGGCCAGAATAATGAGCTTGGCCTTAAAGTACTGAAACTAAATGCCATTTGCAGTTAATTGCTGAAATATGGTCAGCTGGCTTTCTAATTGATTTCAGCTTCTTACTAAGGGATCAGTGCTTCCAATTAGTTTGCATGTAAACTTCAGAGAATATTGAATAATCAGAGCTTAGCAAGCCACGCTGACTGTAAATAATCCTTCTAGCTCTTCTGCAATGAATACACAGTAAGCAAATGTCTCCTGCTTGGCATCATAGGTGGAGCCAGGACTTGTTCCAGCTGCTTTTCTCCACTGAGATGTTACAAATGTCTCAGAAGCACACAGAACTGGCAACCTTGAACAGACTTTTGAAGGGAGTGAGTTTTCTAGGTGGAATAGGAGTGGTATAATAGCTCCATCACCAGTATTGTAAAGAAAAAGATGTTTAACTGAAGCTCTCTGTCTGCTAAAGAGCTGTTTCAAGACCCACGAGTAGCTAATTGTCATTTACAAAACCTCAAGGTTGTTGTAAGTTGGTATCAGTCTTAATGTACCTTGATCAGTTGTAGGACCACAAAGAAACGGGCAGTTTGAAGATAGCCATTACTTTTTCACTCTGGTTTTCTGCTAACCAGAAGTTAACCAAAGTAAAAGCTGACTGAAATACTTCCCCCCAAAACAAGCAAACAAACACACACACACGCACACAAGAAACAAACCCAAACCAACATACAAAAAACCTGCATAGTAATAATATTGCTTTGCACGGTACAGTGAGAGATGCTCTAATTACTGTGTGGTATTTCAGAGACTGAGAAACACATTGAAACAACTTCTATATGGAGGGTATGAAACTCTTGCTAATTCTTTAGCCTGTAGTGGCAAAGCAAAAGACTTTGACTCTGTATCTTCACTGAGTGGTGGTGTCAGGCATGGAATGCAGCCTAGCTCACAGAGCCACGGTGTTTAAACCCATTGTCAGATGGAGCAGGCAGCCTGGCACTTGGTCTCTGCTCACAATGGGCACTTTTGTTTTTAGATTAATGTACCCATGTCCTTTTGACAATGGATCAAACAAACAGTTTGAATCTTAGGAGGCGGAGCAGCATCTCAGAGAAGCTTTTGCTTCTATATTGTATAAGAAATCTGCTTTTGAAAAGCACATAACAAATTTTGGTTTGTACTTCCTTTCCTCTTGTCCGTTCACTCCTTGCAGGACCCTAAAAGGACTTTGTTTAAATATATCTAAATATTTGACACGTTTGCTTCTTCTTTGTGATGCGACTTTGAGGACATGTGTATTTGCATTTTGGGATTGATTTCTTTCACATGAGGGAAAAATGAAAAACCATGAAAAAGAAAGAAAATACGGGGAAGTTTTTAATTTGATACTGTCAGTTGGCATCAGAGACTTCACCCATGGTGCTTATTATTCTACAGTTACATAGATAATACTATAGCTTTTGGGGTTGACCTTGGTGGTTAGAGTCTAAAAAGGTTTTTAGAAAGAAGCAGATATTTTCTTTGATGGTCTTATTCCTAAATTCAAAAGGAGCTGCCTGTTTAAGTATATTTGTGCAGTCCTGAGATGTAGACTTTATGTTATGTGCTGTTCAGAAAGAGAAACATCACTTTTTCTTGTAACTTCTGGTTTTGTTGTGTCCTATAAGCTGAACACACCAAAATAGTTTCTATCAAAGGTCAACTCTTACAGAAGAGGATTACTCTGCAGAACCAAACATTTTTGCAAACTGCAACACTTTTCAGGGATGTATCTGCAGTTCAGTATGTACTAATAAAAAGCTGACTTCTCTGGCATCTTTCATCCCAGGCTGTTATTGATACAAGCATTGAATTATATAACACCCAATCTAACCTACTTTTCTATTGCTGGGGAAATAGTCACAGAAAGAATCAATGATTTATCTAGTTTAATGTATTACTGACTAAATATCGAAGCATGCAGCAAATTTTGAATGCTTTCATTTTGTTTAATATACCACACATTTGTCCTGCAACCAGTAATAGAAACCAGGAGTTGTGCCGTAACCGTTAGACAATGCTCTGTCAATGGAACATCCAGATGCTGCAGTGAGAGGGGGGATGGCTTTCACAAGGATTTGTAAGAGCTCTAAGGAACAACATATGTAAGGAAGAGCAGATATTCTTAATTTATCTTCATATTTATAGTGATTTGATCATTCTGGCCCAATGACACAAGCCTGTTTCCTGCTGGGCACATTCTGGTGTTTTGCACGTTCTTGTTTTGTGTTTGCAGAGTGATGGAGCACCACTTTAGCTTCCCACAAGACCCGTTTTCTTTCCATCATCGGTCTTTGCCTTTCAGATCCACATCTGCTGCAGTGCCTTACTCTGCCTTCCTGTAGACAGGCTCTGCCTATTTTGAACATATCAGATGAACCTTAGCTGAGACGTCAGCTGGTTGATGAGCTTTGCCTTAAATGAGTTAGTTTTGTTAACTTTTAACTAATGAGCAAGACAAAGGCCATTTATATTGGTTATGCTGTGTCATAATAAATGGTAGAGTGTGCTAAGGTAAGGGAAATTGTTTTGGTAATATGAGCCTACCTAACCTTTTTTCCTTGGCCTGCTGCTGCATGCTAGTCTCCAGAGCTAGGTACAGTCTATGGTTCCATATCCTTGTCTGCTGGAAGTGGAGGACAGGGGGAAACTGAGAGAAGGAAACAGTTAATTATTTCTGCCTCTCTCATCTCTCTTTTTCCAATGAGAAGCTGAGGGAATAGAGGGGGAAAGGGAGGCACCAAGCCACTCAAGCAGGGCTGGCAAGGGAAGGGGAAAGGTAAAAACCTGTGTCATGCAAAAGAGAGAGAGGGGGAGTAAAAGAGCAGGGACTTGGAGGATGAGATGAAAGAAGTAGCAGGCAGAGATGTGAGTGGAAATTGAAGATTAATAGACCAGTTAGAAACATATGAATGGAAGGGGGCTCTGACAACAGTAAGATTTCATCTGCTGATTTCATCTGATTTGCATGTGTAAATCATATAAAACTTTCCTGGGTTCTATGTTGAGAAACGCAAGAGCGTAGTATAGCTCATGTCAGAAGAACACTGATGGGTCCCAATGGTTTGATATAAAGTTATTAATGCTGAAGATTATAATTTGGTAGCTTGGCTAAGTGACTAATCTCCTTACATCATAGAATGTATATTTATCTACAGTTAGAGGATACCTGCTGGGCCTGTTTGTGAAGGAGCATTAGTACTGAAAGGGTTGGATTCTCTGTTTTTTATCCACCTCCTTTCACCATAGAATCAAACAAATGGAAAGAAATCACACTGGGTTGATGGCAGCAAGCACTCATCCTATGACTGCTGTGAATTGGTGTATGTCAGGACAGAAAAGGGAAGACAGTGCTGATTTGTCTCCACATTATTTGGTTTGGCCTGCTGATCTGAAGGTGATATTTTTCCTGTGTAACTTGCTTTCTCTGCTTGTGCCATTATATATACATGCATTTGTATATATATGACTTTGCTTTGTGATATGTGTTGATTTGTGTTGTCATCATGAGAGTTCAGTTATTGTAATGAAAAACGACTCATGCTCATAGAGAGCAAACCATCCATTTCCATGAATTACAAAGAGACAGAGAGAGAGATTTTGCAGATGGTGTTACTATCTCTGAAATTCGGAGTTACTGTTTAACAAGGAATGTGATTTCTCCCACTGCAGACAGCAAGACACACGAGGCAGACAGCTCCCCCGTATTCATCTAGCTATTAATGTAAGACAGAGTTGAAAGCGAAGTCAGAAGAAAACAGGCTGGTTTAAGCTATCTAAAGATAGAGGAAAAAAAAAAAAAAGACTGAGAAAACAAACAAACAAAAAAACAACTGGGAAATTAAGGCTTTTTATTTAGTTAAGTCATATCCTCAATCAAAACGATCTGAGCTGCTAGAGGGCCCATTGCCAATACCAGTGCCGGGGCACTCAGCGCAGAGCTGTAGGGTCGGAGGGAGGCACTGCATCCCACAGGGCTCCCCGCGAGCTGCAGAAACACACACAGCCTCTGCAACTCTGGGGACTGGGAACGCCCGCCCGCCTTGCGGAGGTGTGCGGAGGAAATAACCCTCTGAACCACAACCAAATCGCAAGCACCCGAAAGCCTTGACTGAAAGCTGAGCCGTGGCTGCCAGGCCGGAGCTTGTCCCTTTAAGAAAGTGCAGCACGGTAGCAGGGGCCGGCCCTGCCTCCCAGAGTCCCGGCGCTGGAGCTGGGCTGGGAATGGGAAGCAGTTCCTCGGTTGGGGCCGGAGAAGCGCTCGCACAGCTCCAGCCCCGCTCACTCGGCAGCATCCAGCGCGGGGGAGAGCGAGAGCGGCGCTGCGCCTGCCGCGGGATGGACGTTCCTGAGCACTGAGCTCAGCCGCTGTAAAAAGCGAGTAGGAAAATACGCGGCTGGATGAAATTGGTAAGTCTAAACGAAAGGCACATCCTCCACCTCGGGCTGTAGTTTTCCAGTCTCTTGGTTTGTAATGCTTTTCGCAGGCCGCTTCTTTAGTTTTTTTTTTTCTTTCTTCTTTCTTTTTTTTTTTTTTTTTTTTTTTTTTTTTTTTTTTTTTTTTTTTGCCCTTGTCTTCTAAGCAGAGCAGCTGGGAAAACATGGAGGCAAAATAAAAGTGTAAAAAATCGTTCAGTGTTTGTCAGCGTTTGTGCTCCTGTTTTGAAAGTCTCTTTTTGCATAGACGCCACGCTGCAGGAGCTGGGATGGGGAAACCAGCAAGTATTTATGTAGAAGTGGGGGGCTGAAAGTTCCTAAGAGTTGTAATTGGCTTTTCTCGTGGACATGACTAAACAGGGAGATTTGAAGAAAAAAAAAAAAAAAGACTTTTTTGAAGCTTGAAGTGATTTGTCATTTACTTTTCCAGAGTAAAAGCAAATCTCATCCTAAACAGCTTTAAAATGCTGTCAAGTGTGTTTGGCAGGAATAAGAATCTTCTTTACAACCATGTTATCAGTGGAAACCTTCATGCAAAAGTACTGCTGAGCAACTGCTGCATATGTATGTTTGAGTTTAGCTAAATCCATTGGCAGCTCTGAAGAGCAGAGACATTACATGCAATTTCCTCTATGCTGGGCAGAGGGCGGTGCTGCTGCGTCTGGCATGGTCCTCCCTGTGCAGCCGGGGAGCTGGTAGAGGCCGGCGAAAAATCGAGGAGGGAGAAGATGTTTTACACAATTAAAACAGAAATTGTTCACAAATGGACAGAACGACAGTGTGTAACATCCTGTCAGAGCAGTCGGAATTTTTAATTTTGTTCCCTTAAGAGCTTGTGTTTTGCTTGTTTGTGAAGTGATTATCTGACTTACAAAGAAAAATATAAGTTCTGATGATCCACTCAGATTTTAATTAGAAATTAGAGCCTGATTATATTCCTGTTTCCTTTTGTGGAAGGTGTTGTGGGGTCAGCCTACTTAAAGAAAGAGAGGAAAAGCGTAGAATGTCTTGACATATATGTTGCTTCAGTAATGGTATGGGTAATAATGAAGAACTCGGTGTTAATCAAGCTGTAGACTGAGGAAGGCAACAAGGCTTGTGAAGGGCTTGGAGAATAATGCCCTATAAGGAGCAACTGAAGGAACTTGGGCTGTTTAGTCTGGGGGAAAGGAGGCTGAGGGGAGACCTTATTGCTCTCTTCCGATGTCTGAAAGGTGCTCACAGCAAGAGCAGGGTTGGTCTCTTCTCACTGGTGACAGGTGACAGGATGAGGGGAAATGGCCTCAAGTTGCACCAGCGTAAGTTTAGGTTGGATATCAGGAAAAATTTCTTTACAGACAGAGTTGTTAAGCACTGGAATAGGCTCCCTAGGGAGGTGGTTGAGTCACCATCCCTGGATGTGTTTAAAAACCGTTTGGATGTGGTGCTCAGGGACATGGTTTAGCAGAGGATTGTTAGAGTTGGGTAGTATGGTTAGGTCGTGGTTGGACTCAATGATCTTTAAGGTCTTTTTCAACCTGAGTGATTTTATGAGCTACTCATCTAATATAAAATATCTTTTGTATTCAACACAAATGCACTGCAGTGGTTAGAGATTGTAAGCTGAACATGAAAACTTCTAAACCTTGATTACTGTACTTTCTAGTGCCAGGTAGTTTGGGGAAGGTGTTCATGCATATAGCCTTCTTCATAGGTATCTCAGGACTGCTACAGGGACAGGGGTAATAGCACTGTATTCTTGCTATGTATAGAGAAGGGTTAGAGAATACAGTAACAGACTGTCTTTATCTGTGTGTACGATACTTGCATGTGCACACAGATGTTAGTATAATACTCTGCTGCTCTCTGGAGTAGGAATTTGGGTTTCCTTAAAAAAGGCTTTAAGGTGAATTCAGATATTGTTTTAACCAATGCAGTTCTACTATGAATAGAGAAGGACCGGAGCTATCAAGTTTCTGACTTGTGCAACATCTACTTGAACTTGGCATTTCTGTTATGACCAGGGGCTTTGGTTGTCGCTCAAGGCACAAGATGTTTCTGTCTGGCTTTATTCCTCTTACTTAACAATCACTTGCAGTGGAGTGGAAAGATTTGCAGGTTCAAGTTCTTAATATGAGGCATGCCGAACAAAGCAGATTAAAGGAGCTGAAATGACCACATGGATTCCAGTCATTCAAACTTCCAGTCATTAAACCTCATTGAAGAGTTTAGGCTGCTACTACATCAACTCAATCAGTGGACTGAGTGAAGAAAGTCAACTTCTTCATCTGCAAAGGGCTTAAACAGTTATTTTGAGGCAGTGTACCCTTGTAATAGTAGTAGCTCATCACAGGGAAAAAAGAATCATTATATTCTTCATTGTTCACTACAGGCCCTTTGAAATCATTTACTGGATCAAGGGAAAGATTTCTCTCTTTAGCACATCTCCGAACTACCAGGAACTAGTGAGAAGTCTGACTGATGTACTGAGGATCTTTTCTTTTTTGCATTCCTTCAAGAGGACTACTTGATGGGATTAGTCAGCTGTACCCCTCCCACTGTGAAGGATGTGACACACCCCTTGGCAGTGGAGCAAGGTTACTGCGAATACCGATAGAGCTGTCAGGCGCTCTGAGAAATATTAGACACTAGCAGATGCTTCTCTTGGTAGGAGGCTTTTTTTATTCATTGAAAGCAAGTTATCCCCACAGTCATTGATGTTCAGCTGAGGTCTTATCAGCTGCATCTTCCCTCTGTTCTGTTGTTCAGCATGGCCTGTTTGGTATCACCCTTGAACTGATTTCCATTCTAAAGTGTAGTTTTTCTGCTTGCCAATTATTTCCAGTTACAATGTGTATTTTATACACAGAATAGACAGTTTGATGTGACTGGTCCCATTCCATTTTTACTGTGCTCTTTGGAAATGCACTTGAGGATGTTTTTTATTTTGCTTCTGAGCGCTTTTCTTTGTAATGCCTCATGTATTATTCTGTTGGCCCACAATGTCAGAGATGGATGTTGGTGGTATGACAGAGAGGTTGGATCTTCCCACCAGTGTGCCATTCTGTTTTGTTTCTGGGACAGCTGGCAGCAGAGGGGCAGTCTGACAGAATAGTGTCTGACATGGAAGCGTGTATGAAGCAAAGGTGTTGCTGAACTCCTCCATGCAGAAAAAATTGCACCCATTGACATTCATTGGTGCTTGCTGCACATTTCTGGAGACCAAACAGTGGATGTGAGCCCGGGGAGGCAGTGAACGGTGTGTTTCAGCAGCATTGACAGTGACAGTAGGTCACTTCCACTGGTGCAGATGTTTACAAGAGGCATGCAGGTTCTTGCTGCTGGTGAAAATGCAAAGCTAATGGTGGTGACAGTTGAAAAGTAGCATTTTTAGCTGAGAATTTGCTCTATCAAGCAGTGTTATTGTCCCCTTTGTTTTTCTTGTAGTTTCCATGGAAATAAATAGGGGGTATTACTTTGGAAGTAACCCTCTTGCATTTCACCTGAGAATCCAGTTTGTAAGTCTGTCAGAGGGTGGTGCTGGGGTCATACAATTAACTCCTCTAGAGCCTTCCAAATATTATCTTAATTTGACATGTATTTGTAAGATTTAAAATGTGATGAAAATCCACGTGTATATCCATACCAAATTAAAGAAACAGATTCCTTTAATAATTTTGTTTTTTTTTTTTTTGGTAGAGGCTGTTCTTTTTACTCACCAGTAGATTGTTGTGATGTTGGCAGTGCTATGAATTCTGTCTGCCATTGGAGTGTTTGTCTACTACTTGCTTACGTTGACAGTAACAGTGCTGAGTTAGTCTAGCCAGAGCAAGACTCATGATTAGTCAACAAATGCTGACAGTTCATTTTCTAGTATTACTAGTTTTGGTCATTGTTTTGCTGATTTTCATGTTCTTGTTAACTCAGCACTGAGCACGTTGTCGTAGTCTAATTAAAGACGCTTATTGTGAAATCCTTTCTCAAAGTATAATTCTATCTTCCTTTAGACTTTCAGACTCTATGAGATCTGTGATGCTCATGAGCGTGAGCTTTTTCTAAGGAATTAATTTCCATCTTCAAATTTGTATGGCTGTCATCTCGTATCTGAAACTATTAATGACTCAGCTCAGCTTTTCCTTTGTTTGCTTTGCCTTTTTCTTTTTCCCCTTGGTAGTTCCAAAGTTCTTCTTCCCATCAAAATTCTTCTTCAATCTCAATCTGTATCATGGTTTCAACTGAGATAGGGATAATTTTCTTAATATGCCTGCTATGCTTTGGATTTAGGAGAAAAACAATGTTGATAACCCATTGATGTTTTAGTTGCTGAACAGTGTTTATATTAAGTCAAGGACTTCTTTGCCATTAGTGCCACCCTGCCAGCCAGGAAGATAGGGAAGAATGCAGCCTGGACAAATACCCTAAGTGTCCAAAGGGATGTCCCATACCATGTGATATCATTCTGAACAATAAAACTGGGGGAGTTTGGCTGGGATACAGGGGTGGCTGCTGCTTGGGGACTAGCTGGGCATCAGTCTGAGAGTGGTAAGCAATTGTGTAGTTGATTCTCTTGCAAAATCCCACTTGGAGCGGGGGAGCTGAATGAATGGCTGTGTGATGTTTAGCTGCTTGCTAGGTTAAATCATAACAATCCGTTATTGAGAGATTATTTCTTAAATGTCAAATACAGTGAACAAGAAAGCTTTCAAAAACTTTTAGTCCCTCTACCAGTTTAATTATGCTTGCAAAAACATAGTAGTGACCTAATATATCATTAAATAATCACATTTAAATAGTGTATTGACCTTGCCATCCAATAAATCAAAGCAATGGCAAAGTCCTTTTTTTTCCTCTTTGCTGCACCCTGAAAGCCATGAAATAATCTTCTGAGCACTTAGCAAAAGTATGAATTAAGTTGATGTGTTTTGCAGCATGAAGTAGGGAAAAGAGTTGTGAATTTCTAGACCCCTAGGGACAAAAAAAAAAAAAAAAAAAAG